ATAAGTCATTAACATTTTTCTTAAAGAGTTTGTGGCTTATTTTTCTGAACTCAGGGCTCCTGAGATTTTGATATAGCTTCTCTCTGGAGCTTCCTTGTTTGTAATGCTGGCTATAAGCCTCAGAGAAGTCTTTCTTTGGGAGGGTAGAAAGGAAATCTAGGAAGGTGGTGGTGGGCCTGACTTGTTTTCTTGGCTTCTTGCAGATTGTTAGCACTACTAGAGTTTGCTGAAGAGAAGATGAAAGTGAACTATGTCTTCATCTGCTTCAGGAAGGGCCGGGAAGACAGAGGTGAGGAGTCAAAGCAGCCTGAGACCTTTCTGGTTTCTCCTTCTTCCATCCCAACAGTAGGGGACTGAGGAGGAGAAAATGGGTTCCTATACAGCCAGGTGGCATGCTCCTGAGCTTGCTGCACCCCAGGAAATCCTGCTAAGGGAGTACCTGAAGGGTGTTTACTAGAGACCTAGTTCTTAATTATTCCACTGTTATTTGGGTTTTTTCCTGGATTTGAGCCTACCCTTGGGCTTCTTATCAGAAACCTTTATCCTCTTCTCTCCTGCAGCTCCTCTCCTGAAGACCTTCAGCTTCTTGGGCTTTGAGATTGTGCGTCCAGGCCATCCCTGTGTTCCCTCTCGGCCAGATGTGATGTTCATGGTTTATCCCCTGGACCAGAACTTGTCCGACGAGGACTAATGGTCATAAAGGATGCTTTGCCTAAAACTCACAGTGGGGAAAGAGGGGAAGTTAGGCAGCCCTGGGACAGAGGAGGGGGCTCCAAGCTGTCTAGGGAAGGATGGTGAGGGTTGCCTATTGTGTTCTCGGAGTTGACTCGTTGAAATTGTTTTCCATAAAGAACAGTATAAACATATTATTCACATGTAATCACCAATAGTAAATGAAGATGTTTATGAAATGGCATTAGAAGCTTTTTAAACTGCGCTGTGTGATGTGCTCTATCTAGCCTAGGGGAGGACGTTGCCCAGAATGGGGGGACCATCTGGGGCAAGGCCTGGAGGGCTGGTGGACAGCACTGTCAGGCTCAGATTCCCTGCTGTTGGGCTTTCTGTTTTGGTTTTTAAGACTTGTGTATTTTCTTTCCTTGCTTCCTGTCACCCATAGGCTTCTCAGCCCCTGGGCAGTGTCCTTGAGTTGTTTTTTGACACTCCACCTGGGCTTCTCTGTGTGCATTTGTCTGGCCTGGAGAAAGCAGGTCTGATCCCTCCTTCTTTACAGCTTAGTGTTATTCTGGCATTTGGTTAAGCTGGCTTACTCTGTTTAATGTTATCAATGCATTTTAAATAGGGACATTGAAGTTCACTCCCACCACCAGGGCTTTTTTTGAGGGTGCCTGGGCCTTAAAATCATTAGCCAAACTCCAGTTATCAAATCACAGCCAGGAGTTCTTGCTGTTGGCTGCAGGCCCAGGCCCCGATGTGTCTCCTTCCTAGGGTCACAGAGCAGAGGAAGAAGAGTAGCAACTCAGGGCCTGGGGGGTGAGGGGGAATCTGTTCTTAGGGACTGGACGCCTCTGCCTGGCTGAATATAAATAGTGCTGGCTCCCTCCAGCCCCCACCAGGTTCTGAGCAGTGCCTGAGACCCTGCTCCCCAGGACCTGGGGATGGGGCTGGGCATGTAGAAGTGGCCTGCCCTTTTCTGTTTTCATTGACCAGCTCCTAAGCAGCAGGAAAGGGGAGAGACCTAGACTGGGTAAGGGGGGTGGGGGTGTCAGGGAGGCAAGTGTGTTGTGTTACTGTGTCAATAAACTGATTTAAAGTTATGTCTTATCTGTAATTTATTCCTGTGCCAGGACCAGCTTTGTACCGTAATTGTCCTTTGAGTCTAGAGCCTAGCCTAATAGGGACGTGACGTGTCCTCAGGAGAAAGGCTGCAATGCACGAGGGCTCCTCGAGGCCCCTGGGGCCACATTATACTATAAAACATGGGGTTGCTAGGAGTCTGGGACATGCTGCCAGAGCCCCTAGAGACCACTGTACACGTTAGCCTCATCCAGAATATACTGTATATACCCAGGATCCATGCCCTTCTTAGTTCTTTCTTCGTCTAGGAGGCTGGTCCTGTAATGGTGGGGCTTTGCATGGAGCTGCCTGACAGTCCTGTTCCTGGAGGTATTTGAAGCAAACAGGTTGCATCTTCCTTTGGAAGATAGTTTTCTCCTTTTGGAGTCCAGTGCCCTAAGGCATGGCTGCCATTCCCCTTACATGTAACACCAGCCCGATAAGCTCTCAGAAGCACTCATGGGGCAGGAATCACCTTCACTTACCTTTAAAAAAAAAAAAAAAAGTTTCTTAATGGACTTACTAGTATTGTTCCTTTTGCTTCTGCTTCCCCCAGTCAAGCACTGTGCATGTTCTTCCACCTCCTGCAGCTTTGGGTCTGTCTTACTGTTAAGCTGTGGCTCTACTTGTTTTCTCTGCCACTTGGGCCCATTTTTACATTCTTCTCTAAGGAGCTTGTGTTTTCATTCACCCTGGGCCAAGTCATTGCCCTTGGTTGCCATCAGGTATTCATTCCTCCATTCCTCACCAGTAGGAGGAGGAGGTCTGACCTGGGCCTAACTGAAGTAGAGATCTAACTGAAGTAAGGGCTTGATGATGGCCTCCACTGCACAGGTAACCCCAGAGGCAGCCTAAAGGTAATGAAAAATTGGTGACTACAGTGAGCTATTTATAGCAGCGATTCACAGGAATGCTGACATTGGCCAGAGAAAGTTAGGATTCATTTGTCAAACTAAAACCCAAGGAACCCCCAAGATAGGAATAAAGAACCAAGACAGAATCTCAGTACTTCGGGTCCCCAGTCAGTAGCGTTAGACAGGCAACAGACGAGATTATGCTGCCACCTGCAGGTGGGTCTTCTAACAGCCACGGTAGGAGAGCTGAACCAGAAAACCCAGGCACTCATGATTCATTTCTCTTTCAAAAATAAACTTTCACTAGATGAAAGACCACTGACAGGAAAGAAATATGGTATCCAAAAAGTTGCGCTCCAATTAAAAAAGCAACTTAGAAGGTGGAGTGCTGTGGGGGAGGAGGTTTAGGGGAGATAATGTGAAAGGCAAAACTAAGTCTAAATTTAAGAACAGGGACATTAAAAACTTTATTCAATAAATACAACAAATAATTTAAAAATATACTTCAATTCCAAAGCCAATTAAGAAAAGGAAGTAGAAGAGGGGAGAGGTGGGGGAGGAAATCAGTGAAATAGAGTAGGAACAATGGTTGGTTTGGGTGTGTTTCAGAATGTACCATCCCTTTGAAGTTCTGACAAATGCTCTTGACCCATAAATCCTTAGCCCTTGTTTGGATGAGGGGAGCCACAGGAATCCAGCAGCCAGGAATGATTCTTGGGGCTCTGGATAAGAGCACTCTGGAGGTTGGAATCTGAGGGTAGTGTTAGGGGATAGTTTCCCACTCATTTCTAACAACCATCCGTTCTAACTCCCAGGCAGGTTTAAGTAGTGCAAACTCTTAGGCACAGAGATCCCAGCTGCATAGTTTAGGTGAGTGTCCAAAGCCAGGGCCTTTGGGAGACACATCCCAGAGGACCCAGGGGTCCAAGCCACTTCGGTGAATGGGGATCTAAGGGTGAAAAGAGGAGGGACCAGGGTACCGGATAAAACTCCTGGGTGAGCTGGTGGCCAAGCTGGAAAACACTGCTGGGCAGGTGATCTGTCCCTGGATTCAATAGCTTGCCATCAGCCAGGGAAGGAGGAGCTGAGGCTGCATGTGGAGCAGGACCAGGGAGATGAGGAAAGCTGAGGGAGAAGGGAATGTGGGGAGGAAGGAGGAGGCAGCTCAGCAGCAAACTCCAGGAGAAATAACCAGCAGCCCTCACAGATTTGTGATTGTCTCTTAAAAAGATTTATTTTCTCTTCTTGCCTGAATGTACAAAGGCAAAAAGAGTACAGTTTGTATATATATATATTTATATATATATATAAAAAAACAAGGAACTTGGTAATGTACACTTTACAGAAGGGAAGAATCGAGGAAGACTGAAATTAAATCCAACAGAGCAACGCCAATGGAACAAAAGCTATGAACAGCAACACTGCCCCTCCAGCCCGGGCCTCCAGCTCGCCCCAACCTGCTCCCAATGGGGGGCTGAGCACCAAGGCAAGCGGGTGGGCTGGGGCAGGAGGGGCTGGGGATGGGGCCTGGGAGGGCTTTGATCCCGGAGGGGCCCATGGTAGAGGATCATCGGAAGAGCTCCCTGGGATGCCCTAGTAATAAAACAAACGGTAAAGGCCCAGAATGACAGAGCCAACTAGCTGCCCAGCTGAATCTTGGGGGCATCAGAGTAGACACTGGATGGTGATAGGATACATGGGGATAATAAGTGACGTGTGTGACCTCAAACCTGTGTATAGTTCACCGTCTAGCCCTTCTTTAGTCTTGCCCTCCTACCCCCACTGTGGAGCCCGAACAGAAGATTGAAGAAGTCCCCTTTCATGTCACAAGGTGCCCTCCCCTTTTCTGCATGTGTTCCTCTGACCTTGAGATGTGTGGAGAGGGTAAGGGAAGAGAAGGGGATTTCATACATGTACACATACATGTATAGGCAGGGAGAGGGGGTGAAGGGAGCCGGGACACCTTGAATGAAGAAGCAGATGTGAGTCCGAAAGAACAGCCCTCCAGTCCTGGCTGGCTGACCTGGGGACAAGGTTCTTCACCTCTAGCTTTTCCACGGGAGGCCTGGGACACTCTGTGATGTCTATGGAGAGATCTGGGTGGAAGACCTGGCTCAGAAAGCACGCTCATCTGGTGTCTGGGCAGGGACTAGCAGCAAACTTTTCCAGCCTTAGCTCGCTGGATGGAGTGCCACCTCTGCCGAGTGTCTCACCTCTGACCAGGCTGTGGGGCCACAGGTAGTCTGCACCTGTGTCCTGCCTATGTGGAGTGGTGGGGGGAGATGGCAGATCCCTCAGTCAGCACTCATCAGAGATCTTTATCCCCTCCACTGCTGCTGCTTCAATATTTCTGGGAGGGAAGTGGGACTCGGCAAGGATTGGGGACCAGAGGGTCAGGAAGAGGCAGCGTCATTCTGCCACTGTGGCTTTCACCTGTTTATCTGGGCAACTTGGCTCCTACTCTTCAAGGGAGATTTAAATATAAGATCACAAAGAGCCATATGTTTTTTAAGGGGTGGGGAAACACAAAACAAAAAGCTGTTCCCTTCTGTAGAAACCAAGGGTGCCCCGCTAATATGCAAGTCCCTCTTCTCTGTGTTACAGAACAAAGTGGAAGGGCAGGAATGTAGGCCCATGCCTGCCCAATGGGAAAGAAAATTACTCCTAACGGTTTCTTTACAATATGTACAGAATGTGCTGAAAGCCAGCACCACAGATACAAAACACACAACAATATTTAAAAACAAACAGGGATAGAGATGGGCCCTAGGCTCCACCCTACAGGAGGCTGGGAGGGCATAAATCACACTGAAATTCAGTCCGCTCTGTGAGCTCTCTCAAATCAGTTGGGGTGATGGTGCCTAACTCACTACCACTTCCATGGATGAAAGGGAAGTCATTGCTCAGAGCACTGCCTGCTGGCACAGCAGGAAGCAGAGGGAATGATGGGAGAGGGAGACTGCTAAAGAGGTCTGAAACAGTGAGAGGGCTCAGAGCCCAACTTGAACAGAAACAAGGACACAGAAAACTAAAGGAAAGGTCTACCTGGGTCAGAGGAGCTCTTCTTGGGCAAACGACCTTAAATTTTCCCTGGAGTAGGGCTCCAGGATCTTGGAAAACGCCGGCTGACATTGTGCTTACTGGCCTCCACCTGCACGCCAAACCAAGCCCCCGCTCTTCAGTGGTCACCTTTGGCACTCTGATCACAAACCCTTCTCTGAACTCCGCTAGGTTGGTGTCTGTCAGTCTTTATCTTTCAATCCAGGTCAAAGAAAGACAGGAGAGAAGAACAAAGGGGTGATCTAACAGCAGGGTAAGAGTTAAAGCTCCCCATACCTTGGGGAAGAAGTGACTCCAGTAAAGCTACCAAATCATCACTTTCTCAGTACAAAGAACACAAAGCCTGGACGAGGAGACTTGTTCTAAGGAGAGCAGAGAAATGTCTGCTGCCTCAAAGAGTAGAGGCCTGAGGAGTAATGGCTTGGATGTGTCATCCCAGGGTCTGAGGCCCATATAACCTCTATGGTCAATGGTCCCTGCAAAACGTGTCAGAAAGAAACACAGCTCATATTGACACACACGGGCTATGGATAGAGCTATGTAAAAATCACATACTTGTGTACAGAGAAACTGCATTGTGTATGTTTGTGGCCCTAAATGAGGATACTCAGATGGCTGAAGAGATAGGACCTCTCTCTGAACTGCCAGGTGTCCCCTGGCTCTGCCTCCTGGACCTTGCCCTAAGGTGAGCTGGCAGACACTAAGGCTCCCTGTGCTGGGGAAAAACTCTTTTACCTTCCCGAGTCTGAAGAGCCAAGCAGTGGAAAACAAGAGGAGAGATGAGCGTGAAGCTTCCCCTGGGAAAGGCACCAAGGAGTCAGGAGGGAAAAGAGGAAAGGGCAAAGAGTTGGTGACTAAGGAGCAGCAGGACTTGGTGGGATGCAGGTTCTACTCCACAGACTCCATTCATGCTCCAGCTCATTCCCGGTGTTCCCGGGGAGCCCTGTGCTGGTTGTGGGACCACTGCCCTCTGCCTGGCAGGTTACCCAAGACCATGGTGGGGTAAATGCCTTGGTCTTCCCTTCCAGGCTAAGATCTGAGCATTTTTATGTGCTCATATGAGAGGGGAGAAGTCTTCATGTTTGAAGACCATGTTTTCACAATTACAGAGAAAACAGTCCCCATTTCTTTCCTGAGATTCTAATTCCTCCACGTGCTACCAATTCCCAGGGCCCAAACCACTGGAGAGATGCAGGATCTGGTGATGGTGGTAATGACAGTGAGAGGGTATGGCTGCTGTGCTGTCTTCAGACCTTACCCGGTGCTTGAGGGGGTTCCTACCCGAGGGGGGTCGGGGAGGGGATGGTACTGCTCTGGCAGCTGACAGGGGCTTGAGGAACAGAGCAGTGACTTCTCTGGGCTGAGGCCATGTTTCCCTGGTTGCTCCCCATGCCTTCATCTCCACAGAGGCCACAACAGTCACGACTGTGGCCGAGAGAATAAATATTTTTGCTAAGTACCAGCTCTCCAGCTCCTCAGGAAGAGGGAGGGTCGGGGAGTCCAGGGGTCTGGTGGAGGCAAGATAGCCAAGGATCTGCCTTCGGTCATGGTGGAAACGGCAAACAGGATGATCAACACCATTTAACTGATGTCTAAATGGCACCTCCAGCACCTCCTTGGGTGAGCCAGTCCGGGCCCGTGAGGTTGACTTTATCCGGGCACTTGGTGTTCTGCAAGGGAAACACGGACAGGTAACTAGGCACTCAGCCCGCTGGTATAACCACCACAAGATGGCGCTCCACGAAAAACAAACTGCAAGGGAGGGCAGTGCAGGTCATAGGGGACACCTGTGCCCCTTGGAGCAGGTGGCTTATGGGCTCTGTAAACAGGGTTCCACCACTTGGAGACTGCTGACCCACATCACTTTCCCAAAGCTAGTTCCACTGGGATTCTGTGACCCAGGTACCAACTCTCCCTGCTTTGTTTGCCCCAAATGAAAACTTTACTTACCATTCTCACCTCCGGGGTGGTGGGTAGAGTGAGGGAGCAGAGCCTTGCTGGCTGGCAACAATGGCTGTAGAAGAAAGCCCTGAGCCAGAAGGAGAAACACAGTTAGAGCAGCACACCCTCCATCCTCCTACCAAGCACGCTCTGTATCAGCTGGGTGGCGACTGCTTACATGCTTAGCTCCACTGAGTTTTGGGGTGCTGACAGAAAAAAACCTCATCCTTGGCCAACTCCAGTGGCTGGGGATAGAGAGCAAGGCTCTATTTTTCAACTGCTTGTTTCTCTTTGGCTGTGGAAACACCTGTTCCTTATTCTTCTCAACATCAGAGCCAATTTTCTGGAGGAGCTTTAGAGTCCCCAAGCTCCAAGGAAGGAAATAAATGTCATATGTTTTAACGACTGTCTGCAGGAGGCTAGGATTCTAGACAGATCAGAAGCTCCAAAAAAGTGGGGGGGTGTACTCCTGTGCTATGAGCAAAAGCCACTAGGATGCCGTAAAGAGCAGTGGGCGAGGGCCTTACCTGCTGCATAGGGTAAGTTGTACTGTGCTGGGAGCAGTGAGTAGCCCAAGTGGTGGTGGTGGTGGTGCGTGGACATCAGGCGCTGGGACGGGGAAGTGCGCGGCCGGTCTACACTCCTTTCGCCCCCTCCGGCACTCCCAACGCTGCTACAGCTGCCAGCACCCCCAACCACCCCGCAGCCACCCCGATCTCTCTCCTGAGACGTCTTATCACTTATCTGGAAAGGAAAACAGACACAAAAGTACTATTGTGAGTCTCTTTCAGGTTGGGAGGGCAAGAAAAAGGAGGACACCCAAGGTTTAGGGAGGTCTGGGTGGAGACAGTGCTGCACTGTCCACCCTTCCCCAGACCCTGGGTCTGGCGCCTGACTGGTGTTGCGGCACTTCCCTTACCGTGGGAGACTTGCTCTTGTAGTGACTGGCATGCTGCTGTAAGATGTCCAGGGCTTTGGACTCGGAGTTGGATTTACAACTGACACTGGGGCTGGCTCGTGCCTTGTCGGCATCTTCACCTCCTGAGACCTTGCTGCCATATGGGGAGAAAGAGTAGCTGGAAGGCAGGTAGGAACCTGGGGAAGGAGAAAGAAAGGAGTCAAAGAGATGGGAGAAGTAGAAGACCCTCTGCGTTAGTCACCTTGATTAGGTGACCCTCAGCTTTCCTAGGCACCTACCAGTGTCTTCAGAAGGCTGAGACTAATTTGTCTTGACTGAGCTCTAGAGTCAAAACTAACAGGAATACTGGGAACATGATTCTCAGTTTCTGAGGAATCAACTCCCCTAGATCCCCAAGGTTGGATATTCATCTTGGAAAGGTAAGAAGGAGAGTAGACAGGACAGAGGGTAGGGAGGCAGATGGCCATGGCTCAAATCCTACTCTGGGACATACCAGCTGGACAACCTTGAGCAAATTAACCACCTTTTGAGTTTTCGTCACCATCAAAATGAAGACAGCAATAATTTATAGTGTAATCGGTTGGATTAAATAAGAAAATGTACAATAATCACCCAGCATAGTGCCTGGCCCAAAGCAGGCACTAATCAAATGGAACTGTTTTTAAGTAGACAGCAGGGGGTTAATAGTGAGACAGGCACTCTGCATGGGTAGGGCCATTTTCCACGTGGTCCTGTCTGAAAGCTTGCTTGTCCTATTCAGAGTTTGCCTTCAATATTCTGCCCAAACGAGCCTATTCAGGTTGCTCCCTTGTAGAGAGCTGAATCTCTACTGGGGGAAAGAAGTGCTCTTCAGGAAACATAGAGCAGTGTTTCCTTCTAACCAGTCAAAAAAAAAAAAAAATCACATCCTAGTTTGTGACCTTCCCCTACCCCAAACACATGGCTGGGTAAAGAGCTCAACCTCCCCCAGCTGAAACTCTTTAGCTGCATTTGTCCCAGATCTGAGTTCCAGTTGCTCTTCTCCTCTTCCACTGCTTTGACCAGACAGCTGAACCCAATCTTTTTATTTTTAAAGATTTACTTTTATTTATGCATACAACAAATGAGGTGTAGGCCAGAGGTACAGTGGGTGAGAGGATTCACCGGGAGACTGAGTGGGGCGCAGAACAGGCAGATATACTGAAATACACTGCTGAGGGGAGCAGCAGGTGAAACAGGAGATCTGCTGCAGCATGTGGGTTTGCTCTCTGGCTGGAGAGCGAAGTTGTGCTGCAGTGGCTGGTTGGCAATTGCTTGACTGCACTGACTTTAACCTCTGCTACATCAAGGAGGCCCTGAACCCAATCTTGTAAATATATCCCTGCATTCTCTGGTTTGGTTTGAGCTGAATTAGTTCCATGTGTCTCCTGCTACAATTAAGTTGCAAGTTCCTTGAAAGAAGGAAACTAGCCTTCCCTTCTTTGCATCCCACACAGCGCCCAGCACACCACAAAGCAAAACGTGAGTATATTTAAAAATTCCCAGCTGCAGGTCATGGCAGAGGTAGAGAGGGGTCTTACCTTTCGTCATCCAGGACAAACTGACTTTAGAAAGTGAGTTTACCCTCTAGCAGGATCAAGGGAGGAGGAGTGGTCCCACGGACTGTAATTTGGGGTCATCCAAGGAGCTGGAGGTTAGAGGGACCACTTCAAAAAATATCACATTCGAAAAAGGCTGTCGTCACCCTGATCCTCAATAAGCTTAGGGCTGAGCAAGAAAACTCTGCATTTGAAATCTGTGTTTCATCCCCCTTCCTGGTGGATGGAGCACAGCTGAACGAGGGTGCTGTACCTGGGTAGTTCTGCATCATCACAGCAGGCATGCCCCGGTAGCTGGGGTGACTGGGATCATAGGACTGGCTGTAGGAGTAGCCGTGCATGTAGGGGATATAAGACTGGTGCTGGGTGAGGGGCGAGGACACAGGCACGTGGACACTTGGTCTGGGCTCCTTGCTCCCAAGACGGGATTCTTCGGATGTGGACAGCTTGCAGTCACTACTTGTGCTTTCCTTCCCATCCTCCTTGGGGACAGAGTCCTTACTCCGACTTCTCTCCTCCTTCAATTTGCGGTCCCGCTCCTCTTTCCACCGCTCATCCTCTGACTTTATATCTGAGTACTTGGCAGGATAAACGTATGTCCACATCCGGGGCTCTGCTTCCTATAACCAATCACAGGATGAGTGAGTGAGAGAGAGCGGGCAGGAAGAGAGGGAAGAGAGAGAGGTTTCAAGCCCAAGGTCCCATTTGAAATACAAGAGACACTCCAATAGAGTGTGATCTTGGCCTCTTATCTTCATTTACAATCAGCTCTGGTCCCTCTTGTTTAAAAAGCCGGCCCCTTACCTACCCAAAAGGAAACAAGATGTGGGAAAGAAAAGGAAAATCCATCAGGTCTTTCCTAGGAAAGAATAAGCATTTTGAGGGAAACGATGCCTTGAACAGAAGCGGCAGCTCCCTTTCCAAGGACATTTAGGTATTTCTCTTATTCAGGGCAAGCTTGGACAGGAAGCTGTAAGTGTTGCTCAGCTCTGACGAAGGAGGCGCCAACTGTGGTTCTAGGAGGGAAGGGAAGACTTTCCATTTCCTGGGCAGAGAAGATGTGAGACCAAGTTCTTAGTTCTAACTTAACCTATAAAATCTCTGAAAATAACTCAGTCTGAGTGGTGTATTTGTAGCGTACTCCACAAAATGAAGAGCTCACCAAGAATGCTTCCAAAGAAGCTAAACAGTGGAAGAGATACAGGACTAGGAATCAAGATACCCACTTCTAGTTCTGGCTCAAGTAATCCTCGTGAACCCAAGTAATCCTAGACAGTCCAACTTGGGCCTCTCTTGTCAAATAGGAAGAATACTTTTGACTGATATGAAAGTGCTTTTCACAAAACACTGAAGTGATTCACAAAGATAAAGACTCTCTCGAATTATAAATTTCTATTCTGTTGCCCCTCTACAGAAGGACAGCCCCCTGATTTGTAGGAAAAGAGAAAGACTATCAAACAGCACTTCTACTTCTGCCCAGAACATTACCTGTCGGTACCAGAGTATGGGATCCACTTCTGCCTGTCGGCCACACTCTGCACCTGTCTTAGCCTCAGAGGCCTCCTTGCCTAGGTGGCTGGCCTCACTCAGCTTCACTTTCAGTCCCTCTGGGGTCTGGCTGGGGAGTTTGGAAGAGTCATCCAACTTGGGGATAATGACAGATTTGGCAGGGTCTACCCCTGGTTCCTTAGCCTTGCCGGGTCCTGACTTGACCAGGTCTGTCAGGCTGGGGGCCTTGGTGAGAGTTGGTGGAATTGACGGCTTTTGCTTCCATTCTTCCTTGAGTGCTGCCTCCCGCTCCTTCAGGCCCAATTCTGCCTTCTTGTCCAGTCCCCGCTGCTGCTGCTCCAAGGTCTGCCGCTTCTGCTGCTCCTCATACTGCTGCCGGTAAGCTGTGTTAGTGCTCAGGAGGTGGGTGTGGTAGCTCTGGTCACTGTAGCCGTAGGGGGGCACGTAGGCATATTGGTTGTAGTACAGGGACTGCATGTACATGTTGGGACGTTGCTGGATGACAGAGGGCTGCTGACTGGAACTGCTCAGCTCTGGTTTCTTTTCCTCACAGACGTCGTTCTTCACTTTCCCCTCTATGCTCTCTGGCTCCTCATCCTTTTTTGTCTTCAGGGCCTGGCTCTCCACTCCTGTTTGGCTGTTGGGGTTCAGAGCTCCTGGGCTGGACTGTGCATAACTTGGAGAGTAATAACTCTCAAAGCCTTGATAATATGGTGAGTCTTTGCTCTGGGGCTGAGGGGGGAAAAGAGTTTTCTTAGCTCCTTCCTTAACCAACTGTTCAGGGTCCTTTGATTTGACACTGTCCACTTTGCCTTCCCCATCCTCCCCAGCATCAGAGATGTCAGAGTATGCAGGGCTGTTGGTTTTGACTGAGCTGGCTTCAGCTCCATTCTGGGTCACTACGTGTAAGGGAGTCATGGGCTGGGTAGGGGTAGTGCTCTCTAGGCGGCTACTGCTACCAATGGAAGGGCTGGGGGCATTGTCCGTGAAGCTGTAGATCTTATCAGCTTCAGCCTTGATGCTAGCCAGTCGGCTTTGGTGGGGGTCTGATGAGCCATTTAGGAGCCCTTCCATTTTCACACTATCTCCCGATGATTCCCTGAATGGGCTTTTGCCTTCTTCGGCTCGACACACCTTCCCTGGGGTCAGAGGACTTTCAAGTTCCTTTGAAGACTCCTTCTTTTTTTTGTCTTTCTTTTTCTTGTCCTTGGCTGGTGTCAAGGCAGGGTTGACTGTGAAAGGCTCTCCCATTACAGTGGGCTTGGGCTGAATGGGTTTGAGTTGGGGGCTGTTGGGCATGGCTTGGACCACTGTGGTGGTCAAGCCCGAGGAGGATCCTGGGCTTGCTGCTGTGAAGGTGGCTGTCTGGAAAGTATAGATTTGCTGTGGGGGTATGGCGGGGGCAATGGGCCGGGCTGATTTTAGGCTTTTGGAAGGAATCTTTTCCGGTTTCAAACTAGAGGGTTTTTTACACTTTTCTTTTTCCATACACTTCCTTTCCAAAGAATCAAAGGCATCATTGCTTGTTTCATCCATTACTGAGGGTCCATCATCAGAGCCATCATTGGATAAAGCTCCAAGGTCTGTGTCCCCTTCCCCACTCAGCTTTTTCTTACAGAGACCTTTTGTGCTGAATTTGCTGGAGGGAGAGGGGCTATGGGGCTCTAGGAGCCGAACTTTGGGGGTAGCTGAGCGGGCAGGGGACAGGGAACCTTTTTGTGAGACAGATGCACCATTGCAGCTCCCGAGGTCCGCGTGGAGGGTGGGCTCTTCTCCATACTCACTGTCTCCATCTGCTTCTGGCTTGCTATCATCATCTGTATGGGCGTGAGCCTGGTGGTACTTAAGTCCATTGATGTGCTTGTACTTTTTGTTACAATTAGGGTGGGGACAGTCAATCAGGACAGGGGAGGGACAATTTCTATCTAGCATAGTGGGTTCCACCTTGGTCCCAGGGAGGGGGCCAGTGGCTGAACCCATGGAATTCGTACGAACACGTTTGCTCCCTTTGGAGTCCTCTGAGCTAGAATTCAGCTCCATGTCCGAGAGGGGTTTGTTTTTCCTCTTATTAGCCGAGGAAGGGCTGGCCTTGACATCCTCAGAGGTGCTACTGGCAGGTGGACGATGCTCTGAAGAATTTTGGCTGCCTCGACGGCCTTTGCTGTTGGCTCCTGCTCGGGTTTTGCTGCTGCTGGTGGTCCCTTTGCTGTCGGAGGCCGTGGCTGTCTCTGTGACAGGAGTATTGCTGTTGGGACGCATCCGCTTGCCTCGGCCCCTACCGTTGCGCATTTCCAAGTCACTGGTGGGGGAATCACAGAACCTTGGTAAAGGACAAACACAACAAGATTATTGTTAAGAAAACATTTTCAAGGGGCCCTCCCTGGTGGTGCAGTGGATTAAAGTGCAGTGCTGCAGGGCTGTCCACAGCCACTGCAGCATGAGTTTGATTACCAGCCAGTGGGAGGAGGGGTGTGTGTGTGACCCACATGGCACAGCAGACCTCTTCTGCTCCCCTCAGCAGGGTATTTACTCAATCTGCCTGTTCTGCTCCCCATTATCTCTGGTGAATCCTCTCATCCCCCATACTTTTGGCCTGTACCCAAGTTTTTGTATGCATAAATAAATAAATCTAAAAAAAGAAAACCTTCAAACCAGTTTAGCTGTAACCTCCAGAAGAACTTACCAGATGTTAACTATCAATTCAATAAATAAGATTTGTCAGAGAAAGTGGGAAATCCTGGGGACCATATTAAATGGCAAATTCCTAGGGATGTTACCTGCATGCTAGCTGGCAAACTGAATCCTAATATTAGGAAAAAGCTGTTTAGTGCCATTCACTGAAATGTCAATTTTAAGGTCAAATTGCAACTGGGAAATGTCCCTATGAAACCCACATCATTTAGTGAAGTTTAAAAATCTAAAAATGGTCTTACATTTAAGTTTTTGAGAGGTAGGATTAAAAAGCATTATCAATGAATACTTGTTCCCCCAGAGTAAAATTATGTGGCTTTGGTCTAAAGGTGATCACCAGAAGAAGCCAAAGTTCAGTAAGTCTACACAAAGGTTCAAAGAGGCTCTCTCCCCTGCTCCTACCCAACCCATTGATACTTAATTCATTTATTCTACTTGAATATCAGATGAGGATAGTGCCTTCCATCGTCTATATACATCATAATGTTTTTTAAAGGATGGGTGGCTATCCAAATCTAGCAGAATAAAAATATAAGGAATCACTGTAAAATTAACTATGAAGTTGTATAGTGCTTACCTGGGGGGTGCCCAATCATGCCGTGTACAGTCTAGAAGTGTGCCTACATATGTCTTGTTCCTCCATGTGACATTCACCACCAACATCCCTGGAACACAAGAAGACTCAGATGTATACAAGAGAAACCCTGTTGGCCACTGAAAAGAGTATTTTACATTTGGTAGTAACAATCACTCTGGCATCTGCAGGAAGCTTTAGGGAGTGCTCTGGATAGATGATGGGATAAAGATGTGTGTGTGCACTCATGTATACACACACACACTGTAATATTATTTAGCTATAAAGATGAAATTTTTCTTTTTGCAGCAAAATAGAAGGAATTTGAGGGGATTATGAGAAATTATCCAGACAAAGAAAGATCCTGGATAGTTTCACATATATAGGAAATATTAAAAAGCAGATGAACTGACAAAGCAAAATAAAAACAAACTTGTAGACCTTGATAATTAAACTGAGGTTACCAGAGATCAAAAGGGGGGGGGGAAGATATGGAGGTTTAAGGGATGGTAGGTTTTTTTTCCCCCCAAAATATGCAAAGGCTCATAGGTGAGAGAATAATAAAGGCATATTTCAAAACTGCAAGTGGGAAGTAGTTCACTGTAATGGTTAGGAATACAGACATTGGAGTTGGTTTCTACCTCCCAGCTGTGTGACCTTATATAAATCACTCACCCCTTAAGACTTCAGTTCTCTTATTTGTGAAGAGAACTGAATAATAATACTTCATAATGGTCAACAGGCTACCCAGCATGCAAAAATAAAATAAAATAAAATAAAATAAAATAAAGCCCTCAAAAAAAAAAAAAACTCCACAAATATTTAGATGTTTTGTTAACTTTACAACAAGCATTTCTCCCCTCACCCCCACCAGCTTTTGTAAATGGCATGTTTTACATTTTGGTGTCTATGTTTTTAAAGTTAGTTTATAGTAGACAAATAATTGATTTTTCTAATTTTATCTTATATCCTGCCACCTAATTGATCGCATTTATTAGTTCTTGAAGTTTTTTTTGTAGATTTGTTGGAACTTTCTGTGTAGACAATTACATAATGAGCTAATAAATACAGATGTATTTCTTTCTTTCTAATCTATTTCCTTTCTCTCCTTACTACATGAGCTATATTCTAGTAATATGTGGACTACTGAGCTGACATAATTGCCTTTTTCCTGATTGCAGAGGGAGAACACCCAGTCTTTCATCATTAGTATAATGTTAAGCTCTGTGTCTAGACTGTATGAGGCAAAAAGAAAAAAAAAAAAGAAAAAAAACCCAGGGAACTTAACACCACATTGTTCCTCAGGTCGCGAGGTCCCTAATTGATCTGCTTTTTCTCTACCTTTCACAAACTTGGTATAAAGTTTTAAATATAATGCCCAGGGTTTTCAATTGTGGTTAGTGCCTCCCACTAAGGGAAAAAAAAGTATGTTTACTCTTTTTTCCCTGAAGTTTAAGTCATAGTTAATTTATATTGGTTATTGTTCTTAGCATTAGATTTCTATTTTCTAAAAGTTTGGTTTGCAGGCTTGCAGATTTTAATTCTCCTTTACCCCCACTACACCCTCCCCAATTCTAACAGTTTTCTCCTATCTTATCCCCTAAGAACTTAATCTGAACAGATCTTCTAGTGGCCTATGCCATTGAGAAGCTTAGGAAACCACACTTCTAATCATCAAACCAGCAGCCAGATGGCCTCAAATTCTATCATTTTGGGGGGAATTTTTAGTACAGCTACACCTCAGGTACTCAGTTGTCAGAATCTCTTCCATTGTTTGTCCAATGAGATGGCTATTTTGTTTGGGGCTTAAATATGTTCTTTACTTTATATATTTTATGTCTTGTTGGTTTGCAACCGAGAGGCATGTGTCTGAAGTTTGAACAGGCCACCTTGATTGGAAGTTCTAAGCACATTTCTATGTAATATATACTAAGACTGGGGATTATAAAACAGTCTTGCTTATTTATAGCCATACACTAGAAAATATATTTGCTTCAGCACTCTCAAGGCCAATCTGTAGTAACTCAGCCTATCTTCATTTTCATCTTTGATGTACTGGGTTGTTAGAAACTCATGATGGTTTTTTGGCACAGAAAATGAGCGTTTTTTTCCTTTTTTATGAAATAATTTATTAATATTCACTTTATTTTTATTTATTTACACACACAAGAACAGGGGTGCAGGCCAGAGGTGCTGGGAGTGGGAGGACTCATCAGAGACAGCGTGGGGAGCAGAACAGGCAAATCTACTGAAATACTGTACTGACGGGTGCAGCGCGGGAGACAGGAAAATTCTGCTGTGCCATGTGTGCCAGAGAGTGCTGAGATTTAACCCTCAGGGAAGCTCTCTTTCTATATTTTACATCATTGTTCATTTTATTTTTTACAACATTTCTTTCTTTTTCTTAGGTGTAGTCCTAGAATTTCTACCATTAATTCACCAGTGCACCATCACTATAGCCCCTTGTACTCTTTCAGCCCTTGTTTGATCCCTTTCCTCCCATCCCCTACAGAATGGCTATGATTTATAGTTGTCTATTACTTTTGTTTTGATGTGTTTTTATTGTTTTTATTTTTCCCCTGGCCCCTTATTTGGTTCCCCTATATTCTTCCTATAAGTGAAACCATCCGAAATCATGATTTTTCTGATAACCCAATAGAAGGCTACCTAATCTGCATCCTTGCTCCATACAATGAAGCCTTGTGGACAATGAAGCTGCAGTAGACAAGTCACTTAATCACTGTGAATCTCAATATTAAAGGATTAAAACAGAAATGGAATACTGAAACAGAATATTATTAAATTAGATACTTAGCCCATAGTAGGCTTTCAATAAATCAGTACAAAGAGATTACTGAAATAAAACCATAGGTTATCAGGATTTGAGTTCTGAATATTTGGTTTTAAATAAGATTTTATTTAGCCCCTTTTCTCTCTGGCATCTGATTTTAAGATGCTTTAAAACCAAGTCAGACAGAAGAGTTGAAATAAAAAAGAATTATTCTACCAGAAAGTTTCAATCTAATGAAATTAGGTTAGCAAAGAACTCTGGCTTAGTCAACTGGATTTTCATTCAAAATTTACTGAACATCTATTTATTATGTGTAGGTGATTTTATATTCATTACCTCATTGAATATTCATAGTCTCATGAAATAATTTTTTTGAACAGTGCAGGCCTTAACGGCCCACTCTCCTCCCAGCAGTCCTGACATGTAAGGAGTTAAACTACTTTGCAAATAAGGAAATGAAATCCAAGAAAGGGTAAGTAATTTGCCAAAGGTCTTACTATTTATTAGCAGTCAGATCTTGAAGACATTGTGTAGCTATTTCTAATGCATTCTGATTCTTTTTACACAATTTCCTTAACATGTCCCTTTGTATTTATCTTTTTTTT